GCTTCAGTGGCACATCGCAGCAAGTCTCAGAGAGTTTTGGTAGCTGAGTCGGTATCCTTTCATCTTCTGGGGCACCCCAAACCCTGAAGCCTGCACCTACAGTCCTATGGTTGATGATATAAATTCTGCATTCCATCCACAAAGGGGAATATACCATAATTCCCATAGTTTGGGGTCCTTAAGGTAATGCAGGATTGATATCGTCAACAGTTCCACAATCAAGAGGTTCATCATTGCTCCAGTTTACTCGGCGAAGCAACTCAGCACAACCCTAAACCCTTAACCCTAAACCGATGCTAGATTTAGGCAACTCACAGGTCCTTATGATTGTGATCCTCCTACTGTTTTGGGTCTGCACAAGGGTCCCCATTCTCTGAAAGGAGCATTGTAACAATCTTCCGCGCCAAGAATAGGCGAGAGGGAAACCCGAAACATCAAAACTGCCCCCCTGGAGTAAAAAGTTTGGACCTCAAATACTACGGTAGTCACCAATGATGTGGGTCAATCTATATGGAGACAGGGATCTTCTGGCAAAGCCGTCTCGCATGTCCTGAATTTCGCCTCCCTTTTCGGGGTCCAATGCGAGGGTCCTCGGTGTTTTCCTGCTGCTTCGCATGAAGGTTATCCTAAGGGTTTTGGTGAGTGTATAATAGGGCTCTCTACGAATGTTGGTGAGTGCCTATCTTGGATTTCACTAGGTGGAGACTAGTAAGAAAACTCAGTTCATACAATATGCGATTATAATCCTTAGGGTATTTTTCAGTTATAGCCCATGATAAACCCAACACTCCGTTTGAGATCATTAAAGCCCCTACGTTGTGCCTGCACAGTTACCTGAAACCTCAGCACGGTTACTGTCGGCCTTACCGAATATTGAGGGCCTCGGATTTACCGTAAACACACGTTCAGGTTTCTTTTCTCTCATTACCTGACACGATTCCTTGACAAGGTATGTTCTTCATAAGACGGTTTGGTTCTTCAGGTTCTATGATGACGGGGGATGCAGCTGTCGACATGCCGAGGTCCTGACTACCACGAGCTCTTCGTAAAGAGCCTTGGCTAGGTTAAATGTTTGGGGTTCAGGGTTTGGGGTTCGAGGTTTCATTGATTCACACCGTCAGGTTTGAGGGTTGAGTTCCATCTTGTGCGACGGCAACAGCGATTTACCCGAATGTCGGCCTAAAGTTGGGTTTTAGACTTCTGAAATCCTCCTCTAAGGGAGACCCCTGGCCCCAGCAACAAGGCTACCTACCCTGCTAAATCCTAAACCCTAACCCTCAACTCTAAACCCTCAACCCTTGACCCTAAACCCTAAACCCCAAACCCTAGACCCCAAACCCTAAACCCTAAAACCTAAACCCCAAACCCCCTAAACACCCTAAAACCCTAAACTCTCAACCCTAAACCCTAAACCCTAAACCCAAAGTGACAGAAGCAGTCAGGCTCTGGATGCAGGCCGCAGTCGGGTTCTGGTCGCTTTCGAACAATGGGGCCGCAAACGGGCTCAGGGCCCTACCCTACTTGGAGTTCTATCTAGGGGTTTAGGGTTTAGGGTTTAGGGTTTGGGGTTTAGGGTTTAGGGTTTAGGGTCTACTTGGAGGCCCAGGGGACTTAGTAAGTCGGTTATGAGTAGGGTTATAGTTGGGGTAACTACAGTTAGGGTACTTATAACTCTACTGAAAACCTTCTTACAAAGTCCCCTGGACCCCCAAGTAAGTCCCCAAGCCTCGAACCGGTTTAGGATTTTAGATTTTGAGGGTTTAGTGTTTTAGGGTTTTAGGGTTTAGGAGTTTTAGTGTTTAGGTGTTTTAGGTTTTAGGGTTTTTTGGTTTAGGATTTGGGGTTTAAGGGTTTAGGGTTTATGGTTACTTAAACCCTAACTCGTCAAAGGAACAGGGGAAAGGAATGATGTGAAACCAAGCTTGACGGGGTGCATGACTGAGCGGAGAAAGCATCTATATGAGTACTGCGAGTCAACACTCAGGCAAAAGGTCTTCCAAGCAAGAAGCTCGCCCCAACCCTGGATTCCTAAACACCCCACCCCTAAACCCCAAACCTAAGCCCTGAAAGCCCTAAACCTTAACCCTAGACCCAACCCTGAACTTCCAAATGCACAACCCCTAAACGCCCAAACTCTAAACCCCAAACCCTAAACCCTGAAAGCCCTAGACCGAACCCTGAACTTCCAAACGCACAACCCCTAAATGCCCAACCCCTCCTCGCCAGGCTTGTCCCAGTTGTGAGTGCTGAAACCCCAAACCCTAAAGCCTGAAAGCCATAGACGCAACCCTGATCTTCCAAGCGCACGACAAAAACCGAGCTCCCAAGGATGGGCATGGACTTGCTCACTGTGGCTGCGACCCGCCACATCGCCAGGGCATTCTTCGTGAACCGTCGCTCTCTTGCAACCCTAAACCCCTAAACCCTCTACCCTAAAACCCTAAACCCCTAAACCCTAAACCCCTAAACCCCTAAACCCTAAAAACATCGAGCTTCCTGCTTCAGACGAACCTTAGGACCTTTGAGGTTCATGCGTTTTCGAGCTGTCATAAGGGTTCTTGGAGGGTCGGGGGACTTAGTAAGTGGTAATAAGTAGACTTATAAGTACCTTAAAAGGGATCCTTATTGGGGTTATGATACTTATAACTTATCACTCTTTAAAGTAACGACTTACTAAGTCCCCCGACCCTCCAAGTTATAAGTCGGGTAGTTATACGTTTATCCCATATCAGGGGACTTATAGCCCTACTTATCTACCCATGAACCTCCAAGTACGGCCCACAGGCGACCGACAAGGGGTGTAGGTAATTTAGGGTTTAGGGTTTAGGGTGTAATAGGGTTTGGAACAGGGCTCCGTCAGAGGGAACATGTAGTCCTAGCTGTCCTGAAAGCCTCCGTTACTCTTGCTTCCTTGGGTTTATATAGGGGCTTGAGGAGACTAGATAACGGGTATATAAGGGTTATATAGGGTATTTGGATTAGGGGTCCCTCCTATTGCCCCTTAACTTGCAATCATTATGTGAGGGTTTCCGAAAATAGGGGAGCCCAATACAGTACCTTAAATAGTAGGATCCTTATTATAAGGACCCCAAAATAAGGTACCCGGAAACTCCCATGTCTGTGTTCAGTCTGGAGTGCAACTGCTGCCCAAGGTTAACGGCTCAGCGTCAATCTTATCCCTCGAGCCTAGTGCCTAGCTACCCGGAGAGCCGAACACCGGTTTAGGGTTTAGGGGTTTAGGGTTTAGGGTTTAGTTATTTCGTTGTTGAATGTGCCGAAAACCGAAAAGCAAGCCTAGTGCAGAATTGAAGGGTTTTGGGTTTCCATCTTGATGCAGCACAGAGCACGGGATTAGGATACCACAGCTCGAGCATGCTCGAGCCAATTCAGAATTCAGAGGGAGGGCTTTTTGCACATGCAGTTCCCCAGAGTTTGATCTGGTTTTCAGTTGTCGGATGCTGATAATATGGAGTCCTGGTTGAATGCGTCAGTTACCCTTAGTTAGTGTTGAGGATGTGCTGAGGCTGCAGTTTGCATGTCTGGACTCACTGATGCCTGCGCTTGTGTCCTGCAGCGAATGCGAGTCGAGGCACCATGATTGGCCAATTGATGGCGGCCTGCCTGAAGTAGAGTTGGTTCTGTTGTCGGATTTGTGGTTGGATCCTACAGCATAGGTTTGACTAGAAAGAAGGGTCTTACACTGGAGACTAGAAGAAAATCTTCAACAGTTGGAACTGTTTTTTCTTTAGGCCTTGAGGACACCAGTATCCTAAAGTACGGCTATTACTGTATTTAAGTGCAACCACTCACTGTCACCGAGCAGTAGGCACAAGGCCTACTTTTCAGAAGCAGTATAAGAGGATCAAGCCCGTGATCTGCTAGTCGGAAGCCGGAGAATTTTGTTTCAAAGCCCCAAACCCTAAACCCCGAAGACCCTCAACCCTAGACCCTAAACCCTAAAACCTAAACCCTAAACCCTTAACCCCAAATCAACCCTTCCTCAAACCCAACATAGGATCTGCAGTATTGCCGCAGCATGGTCAGGTTGAGTGCTCCGGGAGTTATGCAGGGCTGCGAGCATGGCAATGCCCATCTCCCTTTATGGGGGTTTAGGGTTTAGGGTTTAGGGGTACCTTATTTTGGGGTCCTTATAATAAGGATCCTATTATTTAGGGTGCTACATTAGGCTCCCCTATTTTCGGAAAGCCCCTAATATGGTCTCTACATGGTTGATGTCTGAATATGAAAACCCTAACGTGAGAAGGAAGCTTCAGTCTTTTCGAAGGTTTAGGGCTCAGAGTTTAGGGTTGAGGGCCAGGGTGGAGGATTTGGCGCTGTAACGTTCGCAAGCATGCCAGTGCAAAACTTGCAGAGAAACCCTAATTTACGGTTTAGGGTTTAGGGTTAGACACTGAACAGTGTTGAGTGGATGTGGCCAGCTTCATGTGGCTTCGCCATGGCATGCGCCGGTTCTATGCGAGTGAGGGCAGAGCTTTGAGAGAGGCTCTGCCCCGGCATTATGCAATTTGGCAGGCATTCATTTTAGGAGTTACAACCAGAAACAATCCCCAGTTGTAGTCCCTGTATAAATAAAGTGCAATCTGACCCCTGTCCCAAAACCACCCTCAAGCCTAAACCCTAAACTATACCTATAGTTTCCATTGTAGTTCCTTTTGGGGGATACCTTATAGAATCCTTAATATATTCTTAGTTAAACCACAAAAACGAACTACAATGAAGACTACAGGTAGGAATTGAATTTGCTGAGTTGAAGGCCTAGGCATGGCTGAGGTGGTTCTATTGTTTGAGACGTGTCTGGGCCTGGGCTTTGCAAATGAGGTGTCGCGCTTTGTCGTACGATGAATCACTGTCTAGACGGTTGTAAGATCTGCGAGGAATTATGATATTTTTGTTTTGTGACTTTTGCTTAATTATGCAGTTTGCATTTTTTACTTGTTCGCCAATCATCCACGAAGTGGTGACATAGCTTTCCGGCGCCGATGCAGGACATTGTGGGCGACATCGCTGTCTTCAAGCATCCTGTGCAAGAGTGTGATTTGCGTGCAGCTGCCGATCGCTTTTTTGCAGCCCGACCCGGTGTCAAAGTCATTGCTCTGAAGACGTCGGGAATGGCTGGTCCAGGGCGGCAGAGCTCGCATATTGTTGTGGCGGGTGAGAACAGGCTGCACACCACACACACAGAGTACGGCATTCAGACAAAAGTTCACGTCTCTGATGTCTTCTTCTCTCAGCGGATGGCGGCCGAAAGGCATAGAATTAGCAGTCTTGTCGAAGAGGGTGATAGAGTCTTGATCCTCTTCGCAGGATGCGGTCCGCTCGCATGCATGGTTGCAAAACGAACGGCTGCTGCAGAAACTGTTTGCATTGAGAGCAATTCCGCTGCATTCCAGTGCCTTCTGGAGTCTCGGGCCTTAAACAAAATCGACCCACTTCGCATGCCCTGCTTTTTGGCCGATGTGCGAGACTTTCCTACCTTGCCGGTGCATGTTGCTGCGGGTCTCGTCCACTCCGCGCAGAAAGCAAGGCTACCCACATATACGCGGCTGGTGATACCCAGACCAAAGACTGAGCCAGAGGCAACTTATTTGGACATCGTACCCTGGTTCCCAAGTGGAAGCTTCCCTAAAACCCTAAAACCCTAAAGCCCTAAAGTCCTAAAGCCCTAAACCTTGAAACCGTAAAACCCTAAAGCCCTGAAACCCTAAAACCCTAAATCCTAAAACCCGAAAGCCCTAAACCCTAAGCCCTAAAGCCCTTAACCCTAACCCCCAGACCTGAGACCGTAAATCGTGGGCTAGACGGGGCGACGGGAAGAACGAGGGTCCTACGGTTAATGATTTAAATATGCCATAATTCCCATAGTTTCGGGTGCAGGATTTATATCATCGACAGTAGTTAGCCTCGCGCGTCGTCTACTTGGAGGGTCCGGGGACTTAGTAAGTGGGTAACAAGTAGCCTTTTAAGTACCCTATTTGGGAGCCTAGTTGGGGTTATGATACTCTTAACTCTATAGAATAACTACTTACTAACTCCCCCCGACCCTCCAAGTACTGCGGAACCTAGGTACTCCCCGTGGCTGATGTGCGAAAGGGTGCCATGATTCATTACTACGACTTTGCCACCCAAGAGGAGATTTCGACTGGGGCAGCACGAACACTCAGCCTTCTTGAATCAACTTGCCAGGCAGCTGGTTGGAAGATTGTGGGAACTCCCAGCATATTCCGTGCATCGGGTGCCGCGATTCTTTGTCATAGTTGGGTAACATTTTACATTTTTAAGGGTACTTAAACCCAAGAAGGAATATAAGTTTACATTTTTAATACTACCCCAACCATGAACTAGGATTGGCATCAAGCTGTACAGAATCTGTGTTGACTTCAGAGTGCTCCCTGACAAGCTGGAGTGACCGTGCGCCAAGGCAAAGGTGGCAGTCTTCTCGTCATTTGTGTAGTTTTTGCTAGAGATCTTGGGTGATTGAATCCAAGACGAGAGCCATGGGTCTTCTTGTTGTCACTTTATGTCAGTTCTTCGCATTGGCAGTTCGATGTTTTCGAATTTTCCCTTGGTGGTTATGCATCGTGGGATTACATCTGACACTGAGCTGCGTGTAGCTATTCTAGCCTGTTGTTGTTACACCATGCTTATCTTTCCTAGCCAATCAGTAGTTATGTTCGTAAGCGAGCGGCGAAGATGTCTGAGTGTTCGATAGTAGTCCTTAGGTAAAGATCGTTGGAGGGACAGCTTGGGTACTTGAGGGTCACCGGGTTTGGGAAACCATAAAATGAAACCCGAAATAATGACAAATATTATTCCTTAGCGTTCCTCATTGTAAACAGCAAGGAGCTCGAAGCCCTGTTCTAATCGCTAAGGCCCTTTGATTATTCAATCTGGTACTGCTCCTGCGTGACACACTCGAGGTCGAAGCCTTAGATAATACAGCCACGCATCTTGAACTGACAACCGGGTTCAGGGTTTGGGGTTTCGGGCTTGGGTTTAGGTTTGCGTAGGATTTGGGATGTATGGCTAGGCCCTAAACCCTAAACCCTGATGCCCGTAATGCCCTAAACACTAAACCCTAATGCGCTAAACCCTAAACCATAATGCCCTAAACCCTAAACCTTAAACCATAATGCCCTAAACCCTGAACCAGAATGCCCTAAACCCCTTTTGGTTTAGGGTTTAGGGTCTGGGGTTTGAGAGACTTATAGAGTTCAGGATGAAGCCCGTCGCAACGAGGAGTGCACGGTGCATGCTGCCTAATGTAGGGGCCTAAATATTTACCAATACTATTTTGGCGGTTCCTTCTTATAACTATAGTATAATGGGCCCCAACCCTATTCTAATCACTATAAGGCCCCTATATTACGGACCTCTGAACCTCGCCGGGCGTGTTCACGTCTTTAAACCCCATAGTCCTCAGCCCTGAACCGCGTTCTTGTTAAGAAGGTCATGCATGAGTTAGTTACCATAGATCACCATTATGGTAACTTACCTTAGGTCCAGTTAGATTCCTTAACCAGAACCCAGTAAAGCCCAAACAAGCCCGGAACCCGCAAACCCGAAACCTTGAACCCTAAATCCTGAATCCGTTAAAACCCTAGCCCTAGAACCCTAAACCATGAATCTCAAGCCCTAAACCCAGAACCCTAAACCCTATATCCCGAAGACCCTCGACCCTAAAACCCTAAACCCTAAACATCTAAACCCTAAACCCCATATCCCTAAGACCCTGAACCCTAAAACCCTAAACCTCCC